GATATAGAATGTAAAAACATAAAGAAATAGAACTTCAATACACTCGATTCAATCTAAAGCATCTCCTCAACAGCATGACGACTCCCCTTATCTTCTTATCATATCATGTACACTGGAAAAGCCTGACTCATTACTTTTAGAAATGACAGCTCTTAAGAAATTCTGGTCAGAAATTCCTCAAAAGACATAATCGATCTGAGACGAACCTAAAAGTAGGGCTTTTCATTAGTTTTGACAGAAGTTTAACCTGCTTTCCAAAAGATAACAACCGGGTCATTTCTATTCTACGCTTCACGCGTGAAATGCTTCTCTCGTGACAGGTAGTTCACAGAATTTTACAAGGGTATACCAGTTATGAAACACCTGAAATGAGTTATTTGGTGATGTAAGCCTGGAAGCTCCACTTCTGTATCACTCTCAGGAGGTTCTGCTCTCTTATAACGTACCATTCAAAGATTCAGAAAAAACCTAAGTCCAACTAGAGAAAAACGAGACTCTTTCATTTTCTCCTGAATCGTTCACAGGGGTTGCATTCCATCTTGTTCTCTTCAAGAACAACGACCAACTTTACAAATCCAAAATGAGGCAAAGTGCTCAACTTCTCTTGGTTTGATGAAAAGTCTGTTTCCCGGAAGAGAACAACCGGGTCATTTTTAATTCACTTAAAAAATGCTTTTCACGTTTATCGGAGTTCACGACTTTCTTTTTCTTTTCTGAAAAAAATTAGTTGGCGGTGTGAGCCGTTAATAGAACTTAGACAAATCCAAATCACTTCAATACTGATTGGTTGCATACCACTTGGAGTGAATGTGAATCGAATGTGAATCTTTACCCCGCTCAGAACGGTTGAACAGCTAAACCGGGAGATCGATCCCCTTGTATGGGTAAATCATATGTGTCGGTTCCTAGGATCGTTTGATAAGAGTAAGGAGAGACGAGGAAAAAACCATCAAATGGTTACGTTACACGAGGGATCACTTCAATATTTTTAATTCCTTAAATACATGTTTTTTTTGGCGAAGTTTTGTTGGTTAATGCTCCTTAATCGTTAATGACATGAATGAATATAAGAATTGTGAGCTTCAAGATACGAGTCTAACCTTACACGGGTACACACTATGTTTACACCGAACATCTTTATTATGGAACAAAGCCATTGGCCCAGAACGTTATTTTCCTATTCATAAATTTCACTGTAATTATGAGAAGTTGGTTCGCCCTCAACACTAGATGGTGGTTATAGTGACAGTTGGAGCTTTGGGAGCATGACTTATCTTACAAGCTGAAAGATCCAGAGAAATAAAAGGAGAACATACGGAACAATCTACCTCTTCTCAATATCGAGTTCACTTTATTCCTATAGTCAGGATTGGATAGAAGAACATAGTAGGGACTGAAGATGGGATAGGAACAAACGCTTATGACTGCGCAATGGGATACATCTGCAAAAAAAAGTTCTTGTACCACGAGACTTATGAAACCGAACACGTACATATATTCCCCCAGCTGAAGAAACAGCAGATAGCCACAAACATAAGAGGAAGACCAACTCCTATTATCCCCAGGAACATCTGAATATCTAGCTCTGATCTACGCCTTCATGTGTTCCTTACGAAATAGATAACACTAATGGTTAATCTACGCTGATTGGCTAAGAATTGAGCGGATTGCGTCATACTGCCTTGATTTCGTATGCTCTGAACCATAACCGTTCCACATATACACGTAACCACTACGAAGGCAACAGTAAAGAATAAGACATAAACTATTGCTAAAATAATGATGACACTTTGTGATACTGTCACGTTGATGCCATGCATGGTATCCATCTCTTTGGGATAATTTTTATTCTTCTTAAATAGAACTTGTTGAATGAGCGAGAGGGAAATGATACCTTCATACAACTCTGCCGTGCTTTCTCACCACCATCTGTCAGGCTAAGGCCCACGAAGGGTACACAAATCATTTGAACGAGAGAATGTGCAAAATAGATTATCAACAGATTTTTTTTACGTTCCTCTGAGATGCTCATAGTAACCGCAAATGCACGTTGGATGACTATTAAGAGTGAGAATGAAACGTTTACTGAAAGCAATTGAGCTAATTGAAACAAGTGAGATAATGGTTACCAGAGAGTAGCATACCACCTATACCAAGTTGACCCACAAGACCGATCACATTCAAACGAGTGAGTAGTCCTGCGGTGTATCCACCGGTACAAGGGAATATTACGTGAATTTGTAATGCAATTGTGAGAAAGATTTGGTTTAGCCCAGTCCTGGAAAATCATCAGTAAAGAATTATAAACTAAATAACTCACGCCAAGTCATGTCCGTGTACGACAAATCGGGAGAACGCACTCAGTTTCGTAGGTACACGTATGAGCAGATACATAGACAGGAATATGACCAAAAAGCCAAAGGTTGATACGATGTACATGATGATAGCGAAAACTTCCATCGATGAAATCGTGAGATGTATGCGAATGCTATTGAAATGAGCAACATTTCTATGATGTAGCTATGAAGACAACATGTATATCTATAAACCATCTTGCAACATACTAAAACAACAGTCTATGGCTACATCTAAATCTTCTGATCATGAAAAGCTACAAAACAAACACCCACAATTGTTTTGGTGAGAGATACAAGCTTTTTCTACTTCCCGCGGTAAATATACGGCTATCACTCCTGTAAATGAATCTTAGTATCTCAGTGGGAACCTCTTTATGGAATACTGTTTAGTCAAATTCAATGTTGGCTATCACAACTATTTCCTCAAGCATGTTTGGTGCATTCACTATTGGATAGCATAAGACAACGAGGAGTTTGGAGCAGATCCACACGAACATCAATTCTAACAACATCCATGCGTTTTTGACAGAGAGTCTGTTCTGATTATGATTCGTTAGAAATGGTTATTACCAGCAATATTTACCAAACTGACAACAACCTTACCGGCGAAACACAGAAATATTCCATAATAAGTTCATGAAGCAATTGTTGAATTCTAGTTAAGCATGAAATTCTGATAAGGGAGAATTTATAAAGTGAATCATTTCATTACCTTTGACCGATGCATCTCTTGCTTCCCGAGCGAGAACGACCGGGTTATTATTTTTCCGCGTGAAAAAAAACGTTAGCTTACACATGTTCAGCCATGCGCAAGACTCTGCATATCAACACGGCTACATCCTCTTCCTCCAACATTCGTTTGTATGTATACAATAGAGAAATTCTATTTCATAACAGGGAAATTGATATATTGTAGATAATTGTTTGTCGTTTACAAATTTACGTGACTATGCGTCTCTACATTTAGAGTTATTATATCACGGTCTGCTCACTCTGAAGTTTCTCGAGTCTTTTCGTGAATGAAAATAATTCCTCTGATACCTCTTCTAGTTTCCAGTAGTTGTAGTTGATATTCAAATGTCCATCATGTTTAATGTTTTTTATAGAGACCGAATGGAAGAGTTGTTCAGAGAATCGTTCATTAACTTTTAAATTAAGTTTTCAAGTGAGAGGGGGAAAAGCAATCGGCAAATAGTTCAGTATTTACAAGGATTTTCACAATAACCTTGATAGTTAATGGTTTAAATAAGAGAAATCAGGATACATGAGCAGATAAAACAGCTTTCTGGCTATCAATCAAAGATCGGGGAGTTGCTGTTAAAAGGAATTCAACTCTTAATCTCTCTTTCGGGCCCATTCGGCATCCAGGATCACATATAAGTTGGCGCAACTGAAACAGTCAGAATTTAAAGAACGTTGACCCGTTTCGTCTAGTACCAATACATCGATACACTCTGCTCGAGATGTATCTATGCTTCTTCTGCAGTCCGTTTCACTTCGTGGAGCATCACCATTCCACCATAACGCTAATTCTAACACATTCTTAGCCTTTGTCAAACTACTGGACTTGTCTTCGGCCAACAAGTTGGCGCAAGCCTGTAGCGCTCTCGAAAAGCGTGATCTGAAGTTTGCTCGTTCAAGATCATGAACTTATTCTTTGACTGACCGAAGTTTAATAGGGGGAGCACGTCCATCCATTCGATGATGAAGTAGAGTACAAAGAGCTCTCAATGCATACCTACAAAGACCAACCAGCTCATCAGAGCCGGTTTCGACTTCAGCTCCAAGAGTTTCCTGAAAGAAAAAACTGTATAACACGAGGCTTCGCATATAGTGATCTCACCGATAAAAATATTAATCTGGGGAAATCTCTCATTTGTGTTTGAGAATCCATAGCGGAAAACCTGTACGCTAATAAAAATTCCTAAAAACTTTCATGAGTTGAGGAACATCTAGAAAAGTAAAACCTTAAAGTTCGCACTCAAGGCTTCAATGCCTTCACTTTGAAGCATTTTCAGCGCAGCCATTAGCTGGAGGAGAATGAAGCAAACGAGTTCTTCATGAGAGGTTCGATCCATTCTCTGAAAGAGCAAATGTTAAGTGAACGTTGATACACTATGATAATCACTTCATTCAAATGGTGAGCAGCTAATGAATGGAATGAGCACAAACTCTGCCGAGGCATCGCTATGACCTGTAATACTTTCTTTGAGAAATTGTTTGCGAATGCTTTTTCTACTTTAACACGTCTTCCATCCAAGTTATGAGTTCCAGTTGTTTCTAAGAACCTGCGGATGCCTCCGTCATGATCTTCCATCTCCAAGAATCCTGGAACTCCAAATAACTGAGAATCTCCTCGTCTCATCAGAGGGGCATATTGGGAGCAAGGAGCAATCTGAGAAAAGGAACATGAACTGACGAATAGTAATACTCAAAACCATCAAGGTTGCTGGGTAGTCTACTTGTCCTTGTCTTGGTAAAACAGCATTGTAGAATAAACTCTTTCCTTTAGTTAACACAGGTTGCGGAGAAATAACAAAATGAGAAAAATCAAGGTTGGACATCCTATTTCTTGAGACAGGCTCCTCTCCTCGTCTACAGAAGATATTGTAAGTCGGGAAACTATTAAACAGCTAACCTTAGATCGTCAGCTAATCTGTCTGCTACCATTGAGAGGGTTTGGACATGATTCAAAGAAATCTGAAAATGAAGTTAGTCCTCAACTCCCAATTCCAATTCACCTGTTGGAAGTGTTTGTAATATTCAAAGTCTTTAATGCTTTTAGGAGGACTGGGGCTTCTTTGTGGACTATTCACACTTTCAGCTGACATGAAAACTGGAATGTTGTGACGTGTTCCACGCGATATTGAACTTCCTATAATCATATGAGCTCTGCTCAAACTCCATTCTTCCTCTTACCTGATCCACTGAAAGATTTAGCAGGCCGCGCGTTATAGGTTGTAATAGGTCGATCATCTTTCGAACGACTCCTAGAACAGTAAAGATAAAGACATTAGAACTTGGAAAATGAACCTTCGGACATAAACTCCATTTGGTCCAGTTTGATTATTATTTTCCAAACCAGACAAAACACGACGACAACTACCAGAATAACGACCCTGAATTCGAAAAATTATTCTGGTAAAGCTGTATTTCTAATGGTATGCAACCGCTTCATAGCGAACGTAGATTGGAAATGAGATGAAAGACTCACATTAAACTTTGGCTTCAAGGGAATGATCGGTTGGTTTTCTTCTGGACTACATGATTTCGAGGAATTTAAAACACTTTTATGATGTAACTGAAAAGGGTTAAAGATTATGAGAACATGTTGGATTGAACTAACATCCTCTTGAGAATAAGCTGTGATTGAGGGAGAACTTAAAGGGGTCATGGGCAGAGAACATGGCGCATCAACATCAGTTTCTTTGATCCATCTAAGCAAACAGAATGATGGAGAGTCTAATCACTAACAAACATACCTTCCTGGTAGTGATCTCCTCTTTGGAATGGGTACAGTGACTTGAAGTGGCTTCCTCATACTCTCAGGCTGTGGTTCTGGAGTAGATCCTGTGTGGCTCAGCGGACTGTGACTCTCGGCAGAGTTGACTCGATCGTCTTCACAAACGAGTATACCGTTCCGAAGTGGTATGAGGGATGGACTTGGAGCCTTAAAGATAATAATGACGTAGGTCATAAGACTTCAGAGATGAAAATCATTCAAAATTTCACAAAGAAAACAAACCGATCTCGGTGAACATTCTCTTGTTGGCAAAAAACTCAATGGACTCTGAAGTGAGGACAAGCTGTGTCGGGAACGAGCAGACGTGTTCCGAGAGCCTACACTATTTCTGAAAGAAAACAGAATTTGTTTTGTGTTTCCCAATGATTTTGTTTAAAATGATGTGGCCGATAACTTTTTTGTAAGAAAAAGATACCTGTAGCCTGAATTTTGGCTGCTTCGCTGAGCGGGACTCCATGTATCACGTGGGGCGACTTGCACCGGAGACCATTCGTCTCTAAACATTGACTATGAGTAAATTGAGCTCAGAAATGAAATGTACCTTGAGCATCTGGAAGAGCTCCAAGCATCATCATGAGCTGGACTCATACTGTTAGAATTACTGTAAATTTCAATAGTGGAACGACGATTTGGAGTGGGAACGTGTATATCAGATTGATCAGCAGACTGAAAAGGACGAGATTGGGTTTCTAAGCTGTGACATCCAACTGTCCTTTGACTTGTTGGAGAAAATTGGATATTTACGAATACTTGATGTTTGAGTGTACCTTATGAAAAACTTGCAAAATAAGTCAAATAAGAAGAAAAGGGGGAGGAAGTCATACACGAATAGGGATAGGGAGATTAGATGATGATGATGATGTCTGATTTCAACATCCTTCAACACGTATGTTTACTCAACTTTTAGGACCAAAAAAATAGAAACAAATGTTGCGGAAATTATTTACAAATGTTTGATTCTTCTGCAGAAAATTTGAAGTTGGACTACATCGGAACGGTATGCATCAGAAGATTCTTTGACTTGTGCAATGAACAAACCTGAAATCGTTGAAGAATCTTTTTGAAATCGTTCGATCGCTGGGTAGGGATGGGAGATGCACGGCACGATGTTCGTACTTGATCGTCTTCTGTCTCAGCTGGGCTCGGCGATCTGTAAGTTCTATGAATCAATTCGGGATTGAAGAGTGTGCGCGAGGAGAAGAGTAACGCTTATATGCTGATGATCGGTCTACTCTTACACAGGAGGAAATCTCGAAAAATTCGGTTAATTGTTCATATGAGGTTGAGTTGAAGGATAAACAAATGGGAACGACGAAACATCAAGTTGATTACGTCGAGCATCTTATAAAAAAAAGTTTAATTACATATGGAATGCTCTTTGATCAAACATGTGTCTTCGAGTTACGATGAAAACAATTTCAGGAATATGGACACAGTTACTGTTGTACTGGTAAAGTATTGACAACGTAGAATATGAAAGTAAGAATTGAGAATGTTCATCATGCTTGTCTTACAGACAGTTAGTGCATGCGTGAGTTGTGTTGACGACGGTAGACAGAAGTACTTACATGACAGTATGTGTGCTCAGAGAACAAGATGGCAGACGAACAAGATGAGAAACGGGAATTGATAAGATTTTAGACGATTGCGAGAAGATGGGAAAAGCAAAAGGATGAACAGATTGAGGAGTAGACGTGAAAAGAGAATGAGTGCGAACGAGGAGTGTTGAGAGAAAAACATGAAACACATATTCAAAGCTCACGAACAATGAGCACAAGATGTTAACTGTGAGAAGAGACTATATACATCCGGAGTAACTGTTAAGATAAGGTTGAGGATTGAGAGAGAGAAGATACAGAAGCAAGGGGGAATTTGAAGAATGGGAAGAAGTGGAGCAATTCCGATGATGTCAGATGTCCGTACATCATTTGAAAATGCTAAAGATCAGAAGGTTATGAGAACAGTGGTGAAAGCCTAGACAAACGTCCGAGAAGAATTTCATAAAGCGGGGGAGTAGGGGAAGTAAGTTTGAATGGTTTGACAGACAACAAAAAGAGCCGAAGAACAAGATTCGGTATTGGGGGAGAAGACGAATCCTTCTTAAACAGCTTAAAGCTGAAAAGGTGAAAACATTGGAGCTCATAGGAATCAGAGCTTGAAACTGGTCAAATGAGATGGTTTATAAGCAGCTTGGAAGAGAGAGTGCGAAGTTTTGCGTGGGTGAATAAGCAGTATCAGTTGAAGTAGGTGATGAGTTACTCATTTCTTCATAATAATCATCGTCAACGAGTTGCACCTGATCATCCACATGATGTTTCTGCTTTTCCACGAAACTGATAAGCAAAGTATGAAAGTCAATTCCAAGAAGTGACAAGAAAAAAAAAGGAACGGATTTCAAAGAGTTTTTGCGAGAGATAAAAGATATACACGGGCTTAATGAAACTATCAGAAGGGAAGGCAAACACTATACATAACTGCTTACCGTAATTCACCAACGCTACAACTTCTTTCCTTTCGTTTGCCTCGGATCTTCTTATAAATACAAGAATCTGACCGATCTTCCTGAAAATTCATTGATATATATCCTGTTTTTTGTCTGCCAACATTGCATGATCCTATACACACAATCTGGATCTTACCTGTTGTGGAAGAGAATGGTTTGGGGCAAAGAGGTTACTGGCACTGTGTGGCACAGCAAGACGTGGAGTTGGACGAATTAGAGGTGGAGGAGCTGCAGTTGTAGAAACGACAGACGATGCTCCTGATGTGGCTCCTCCGACGTTGGCGGTCGAAGAGCTAGAGGACTTAGCTGAAAGCAACAGGAATACAAACAATAGAACATATAAGAGAGGAGGAGCAGAGAGAGAGAACATGAAGTAGACACAAAAACTGAAAACTATGCCTCTCTTATATGCGACGCTACGAGAGTATTTTCAGAGATTCACTAATGAAGCACGACTGTTCAACAAGTTGATTATGATCAACATCACTTTCAAAGATAAGGTTGTTGGTAGTTCCACTACAGATGCGAAGTACAAGACAATACAGAAGCATATCGAATTTGAATTTATGTAAAACTTACGGATGGAAGGAATACCAGAAGGCCGAGCGTAAGGTGTGAATGCCGAGTTTTCTGATGTTGCCAGTGATGTCATACTGGAATGATACTGATAAGTCATAAGATCAAATGAAGTGTTGATGTTTAGGAACTCAGAAAATCCTTCAAGTTCTCTCCTCTCTTACATGCGTCAGCCTTATATGATCGTATATTCAAACATGGAAGTAGGAAAGAATAATGCGTTCAAAGCGGTCTACACAAACTCTGTAAACATTTCCTTTCTGCCTTATATGGAAACGTTCCAGATTTCTCAAACGTCTCTCAGAAACTGTCTGCTTCTGTTGATTCTTACTGTTTCCAGGCTTCATAGCCTTCTGCTCCCACTCCCTCGTTTTCTTAATAAACTTCCAGCAGAAGTTTGGCACATTTTCACACACATAAACATGATTTTTAGTCGAAAAAAATTCATTTTCTGATCTAAAACTTGCTAACTTCACGGCTTCTGGTGCTAAAAGCAAATCGCAGACGTCAGAAGGAGCGAAACGCGCGTTTGAGCTCGCAAATGTGAGATTATCCGATAGTTAAATACAATCCAGCTGACTTCTTTCTTTCAAATCAAAATGTAAACTCGGAACAGAAGACAATTCAATGATGAGCTGTGCAGAGAGAGTTATAAGAGGTGTGATAGATGTGAATAGAGAGATGAATGCAACAGATCTGTCCGTCAGCCTTTTGTCAGCTGATTTTTCATTTACTGTATTATATCCCTATGTATACAATCATTACCTGTTGTTATCGTTTGCCAGAGATTGATTGTCAGTTGAAATTAGAATAGAAAGCATTATATGGTAGTGTTAGGAATTAAACCTTCTAAACTGATGATCAAAGACTAGTATGAAATAGCTCAACTATCATCAAGATGTTGTACTCTAAGAACAATCAACATAAGAAATATAACAAATCGAAACACTTGAAATACTAGAAGACATGAAATGAGTTGAAGATATTAAATAAATCCGTACCTCAATGACTACTACTACGAAAAGCAATGAAGTCAGAGTTCATTTCTTCAAGATGTACCTCCTTCTTCGAAAAAAACAATCGAAAATCTCTAATGGGGACAGTTTTTTGAAAGCAGTCGCGAAATTCCCATTCATTTAAGTGAGAAATGAAGATGAAATCTTATGCAAACAATACTATAAAAGTTGGAAAAGCTCATGCAGATCTCAGCGATCCATCGTTGAAAAAGCTGTTAGCAACGGGCGACTTTCGAGAAAAGCTGTCATGTTCAAACACATGTGTTGATCTAAATCTTATTTTGAAGTGATACACACTTCACGTGTTCATTCACGTTTTGATGAGCATGATGCTTTAAGAAGTTCAAACTCTCGCATTTGAATATAATATTGAAACTTGAGATGATAAAAAGTGCAGCCCACGGCCGGGATCGAACCGACAATCTTCTGATTAGAAGTCAGACGCCTTATCCATTAGGCCACGCGGGCTTACACCACATAAAAAATAGTGAAAGTTTGATAATTAATAAGTTCGCGAAAACCACTCTATAAGGAGACAATGGTTATGAATGCGGGAATTATTGAATATTAGCTCAGAAGGTAAACCACCATTCAATCAAAGCTTCTTACGTGACAATCATCTCCGACAAGAAACTGTCATCGGAACCGCAGAATCGACAGCTAGACAGATTTCTATGTGGCAGCTTTGTCAAGCTTGGCACACATAGGTTCAATTACAAATATAATAGAGCGATTTCTATACATATTTCTAAGTAAAACCAAACAGTGAACCTTGTCAAGGATTGAATCTTAACAAGATGAAAAGATTGGAAACAAGCGTGTGTAACTACCGACAGGGACTATATTTCAAAAAACTATCAATTCATTCGTCTCATAAAAAAACAGAGTGAACTCACAAATTATTGAGCCATCATTGAAATCATGAGCTGCTGGACTTTGTCAAGAGCGTGAAGTGAATCAAATTGAAAAACGCATAGCTATGATAGAACCCGATGAGTAAATATTAGGTTAGAATATTGGCAATCAAAACGACGAATAGCCAAAACTTCCGGTTATGATTTGTCCAGACAGAAATGAAGAATGGCAAGTGTACACCAAAAATGGACAAGCTCAACTAATCTTCAAAACACACAAAAGACCAGAAACAGATTGCTCGTAATGGAGTACGCACGTATCGCAAAGTGTGAATTTCAAAGAGAGCTCCGATCGATAGTACAGAGAGAAAGAGAGCAAGTGAGTGGAAAAATATTGTTCCCTAAATTGACTGTATTCACTACAGTCCGAAATCAGGTGAGAAAGTCATGAAGATGGAAGAGTAAAGCTGTTGCTATGAAGCCATAGGAGATCGAACCCCTCAAAAGCCATAGCAAAACACGCTTCGTTCTCAAATAATTGGGAAGTATAAGAAAGAGTTTGAGCAAGAATATACTGATCTAGTATTTGCTCTGATTGTTTTGGTGAGGAGACCTTCAAAGGAACGTTTAGAGATACTTACTTTTGGGCCGGCAACGGTGGTAGTTCTGGGAATATTCTTCTTGGTTCAACGTACAATGCTCGAGGATCATGTTCCCTGATAGAAGAAGAGGTAAACCTTACTGAGGGAAGCGGGACTTACCGAATGTCTCGTTTGCAAACTGCGCAACTACGTGAACCTCGAACTTCGGCCACAAAAAGCCCACATGACATGTCCTGCAATAACTTTTGTAATAACTAATGAAGAAGAATAATTAAGATTCAATTCGTTTTGTTTACAAAATTTTCAAAAGCAAATAAATTGGTGGAGATTATTATATTATTTCATGGAGAAGACAGATGAAATGAAAGAGGTCAAGAAGGCAAACCCAAAAGCAAACAAAAATAAGCAAAAAGATCAGTTGGAAACAACTAATTCTGCATACGCTTTGCTCACAGATATCATCAGAACTACTACATACAAGAAGAAGGAGTTTACGAGGAAAAGAGGAAACAAATGCTGGAACTATCAGCAAGCTCTGGATCGAAGTGACTGATTGGAAGTACACGTCGTCCATGCGGTCGTAGTGGACGCACCAATTGCCAAGATTTTCCTGTCTTAGCGTGTCGTCCTTGTCATCCTGGTGAGAAAGACAAGCTATTTGGAACAAGAAAAAGAAATGAAGGACGAGACCGTCATTTGCTCAAACATGAATACAAACACGCCGACTGATGATTCTGGATGCGTCGGCTCGCAGACGATTACATGGGTCTTAAGACAACACGAAAATCGCCAAGCCGCACAAGGAGTACGTTTGACGTAACATCAGTCACCTAGCATGCCACAAAATCACCTTCTACTGACGTAAGTAGGAAAGGGTTAGGAAACTAGACAGGGAGGGTGTAACTGAGACAAAAACTGAGCGCTTGAGGAAATAAGTTATGAATGAACGTTGGCGGAAACTTGACCACACAAAAAGAGAAAGAAGCGTTCAAGTAACAAAATGAGCAAAGACAATAGACATACTAATGAAATGAAGCTGCTGACCACAAGTGACCATTTGTTTGCACTAAAGAATCTCATGATAATCGTAAGAAACGACGATGAGGACGAAATATCAAAAGCCGCATTTGGTAAGAAAAGATATCCAGAAATGAAAATCGATAGAAAGAAAATGAATAAACAAACAGAATCTACTATGAAACGTTTGATTACAAAACTCATGTGAAACTTGGAGGTAAGCATCAGAGATATTCAATATGTCAAGCACGGCGGCAAACAATGCTTAAAGTTGGTGATCATAGAAGAAAAAGCTATGAATCATCTAACTATTGACCTTTACTGAGCAATAATTTTGAAATCACGGTCTCACAGAAAAGGAAACGCCCGAATGTATTTGATGATCAGATTCTAATGAAGCCGAAATTGTAGCAGAAATCGGGGCTGTTTGACTAACAAACAAGAAGATCTTATGGATGTGTCAATGCGAATTAAGAATATTAAATGAATAAGAAGAACACCCTGCGCTCATCAAGAAAATAGAAAAAAGCAAACTGCTCTACATATCAGATGGTATTTGTGGCGAAAATGTACCTGATGAAAACAAATTTGAGAGGATGAAACAGAAATACGGAAATTTGGAGGGAAATATATCTCATTTGAGATAACACTTGAGATTCATGCGTTCGCTGAACTCGAATCTCAAAGATTTTTCCTCATCCGAGCTATGCCCAAAGAGGTGCTGCAAACGAAAGATACGACGTTAACGGAGATTGAACGAACTCAATAGTGAAGCACAAGAGAATCATTTTGAGCAACAACAATCAAAAGAACAGTCAAACTCACTTTGTTTTTGAAATCCTGCATTCAATCAATTTTGACCTTGTAAGGCACTTAGTTTTCAGTTGACAGATCCGAACATCAACGCAAAAAGGAGAAAATGATGATAAGTAGATAGACAACTACTTCAGACACTTTGTATGCCCTATCTTTCCCCTTCACTCTCTCGCTGATTTGCTCACTCTTCTTATATTTTCCGATCTTTAGCTCTTCATTGCGTCTAGCATCTCACTCGCAGACTATCGCTAGTCGTTCCGGATGAGCCCGTTGAGCTGACGTTTCAAAGTGTACGGAAGAAGCCCTCCGTTCTCAGTATTCTATCCTCACATCTCTCTTTCTACTCTGCGAGTTCTTCAGACTTTGTGCACTAAAAAATAGTGTTTCTGTATGTCACCTCTTGAGCAGAAGCGCGCAGTTAACTCACTTTCATCTCGGCTTCGCCTCAAGCTGTCAACTATCAACTTTCGCGTCTCGTACAACCATGTGTGCGCACACTTTTGAACATTCCATCTCATTAGAATACGATGACGTTTCCACGTGAACGCTTATTGAAAAAGCATAGGTCATTTTCTGAAAAAAAATTATGCGCAACCGGTTGTTCCCTAAGACAAATGAAGTATAATAACCATTTCTCATTACAGGTACGAATTAGCCGCAAAAACGGAGATCAACGTCTAGTAAGTAATACAAAATATTAATTTTTAGTATCTCAAGGTGTTAGTATGCAAGCTGTTAAAACTTTTCTTCACAGATTATTGTTTCATTTTTTCAGAATTTCGTCTCTTCGTCTCCTTTTTTCCTCCAATTGTCGTTGAACTTCACGCCTTATTCTATCTTCAGGAGCTTTGCCTCTCACTTCTATTAATGAGAGTGTTACATGTTTGAGGCTCTACACAAACCACTATTGTCGTCCAATTCTGAAACAAAAGGAGTGTTCCTAAGTTTAGCTTCTCGAGCGGCGCATTGTTTTTCATATTGTTCATCAGTTAACTGAAGGACGGTTCCACAGTTCCTGAATGATCAAATATGGCTTTTGTCTCTTGAAACCACAAAACTCATCGTCTGAAGATTCAACAACGCTTCTTTGAGGAACATAAGCAACACTGTAGCCAGGCTGATAATACGATTGAGGAGCATTCTGAATACTCTTAATCCTAGGAGGAGACGTGTTGTTCCTTTCTGCTATACCCAACGTTATCATAATAATAATGAAAGTGTTCTCGAACCTCCACCGATCAGACCCCTATTGCCTAGGAAGCGCCTTGAATCTACCGAGAACGGTTCGCCACCAGGAGACATGAAGCTTCTCTCGACTGTCATTCGTTCGGTAACGAAAGCACCACTTTAACCAATGTGTTAAGGAATTGCGAGATCATAGACCGAACCTGCGCTCATTCCTAGTAACTTCATTACGCTCTCGAGTTGTAGCAACAGCACTCCGCGTTAAAGTAGGTCTATGCGTTGATCGAGTATAATCATCAGTAGGTTGTGGAGAGCCGTAACCTAGCTGAAACAATCAGTTAGCATTCTCTTCAACGCTTTCTTTTTACTTTCGTTTCCATATTTTTACAATAGTTAGTTAGTTCCGATATGAACCCAGGATCATATTCTAACTGCTTCTGAATCGAATCCAAGATTCTTGCTCGTTCTGATCGGAAGAGAACTTCAGGCTTCTTCTCAGCTAGAGGTCTTCGTATCTCTTCAGTTCTTATCGGTTCTGGTCGAGCAACCGTTGTCAGTTCTGTTTGATGAAGATAAATTATATAGAATATCCCTCGTTTACCTTCTAGTTTTTTGAAAAGTTGCGCAAATAAGACTTCGTTCTTCTCTTCATTACGCTTGAGCTGTTCCTTCATGGCTAGCAGATCTGAACTATCATCTTGATCCGCTTTTTCATTTTCTGAGGACTAAAAGAAAGAATGTTTTTCATTATTTTTCAGAACAGTACCTTTCGTTTAGACTGTTCTGGTTTTGCACAGAGAGCTCTAACAGCTGTCGGTGGAGGTTTGTTTTCCTTGTTTTCAATCACTTTATTCATGGTCGGCTTATGATGATGATCACGCTTAGAAGAAGCCTAAACCAATGCTTGACTCCTATATGCTTGAGGCTGGACAGACCTCAATTGTTTGAGAGTAATTGACAGTTCGACCAAACGCTACAACTTTCTTTTTTTGATGAAGACGAGCAGGAAAGGGTTTGTCTGAAATGATGCTCTCAGATGAAATCAAATTGTGTTCTTGTACCCGTTAAACAAGATTTTTTTGGTTTCGAAAGCTTCTCAATATGAGCTTGGCTTTTTTCGTTACCTATATGGTCGTCCTCGTATATATCCTCGTCTGGAGTTTCAGCTGATACACACTCAACAGGAGATGAATTGTCGTTACGGACGTTGGGTGAGTTATCCTCCTCGACAACCACTAGAAGAAAACCATTCACTCTCTCAATGAGGATCAATGAACCTGAGTTATACCAACAAGCTGGAGCTGCTGATCCAACGCCACAATCAGGCAACATGAATTGTCAAAACTTTTGGCCAAACAGTTTTATAACTAATTACCACGACAACTTAATATCCTATAAACTTTTAGGCTTATATATTCACAAACAATAACACAACGATATAACGGCTCTCGACCGCAAAAATCAAATAAGACAGCATCCTGGTAATTTCATCATTTCAAAACGGAATATCAAAAAATAAATACCGGACAATGTCAGTGTAATGCACAAGTGAAGACAATTTGTATTGAGAAAACGAGTATGTCGGAAAGGGACTGAGAATTTGGTTATAGCACAAGATAAGCAAGATGCTTGAGACCAGGAATACTCTTGTAAAGAGCGTATTGTAAAGAATAGTGTTAGTATACTACCCTGTTTGGAATTACCGGTAGACAATGATAAACTAGAGTATTCTATATATAAAAGACATGCACCGAAAGGATGAGAGCTGTGTACTTATGGCTTACATAACTTGTAGAGGGTTTAAAGACTTAAAATCGAAAAACTAAAACTCAGTGAGATTTTTTCGTTACGAAAGCTTGGGGAATCTAAAATGTTAATTGGTAGGATACAATCATGGAAGCTCATGCATGTTAGGTGGGTTGGATGAAAAAGGAGAGATGGAACAATCTCAAATAAGGAACAAAAGATAATACAGAACTATTCTGCAACTACATGGAACAATCGTAAAGCAAAAGACATGCCTCTATTCAGAGCAAGAATTGTCAGGGCTATCCATTTCAAAGTTGAGGCGTTGAGCAACAGAACTTCCTTCTGATTCATGCAATGAGGTTTCAGAAGCCATAGACCTCGTGCGGGAAGTACAAGGTGTCGTATCCTTCAAATTAGAATATTATCTAACGAAAACTTCACAGCTTAAGAAACAACCTCGTTTAAGGTACCCATAGATAGATGCCGCGTGAACAAAGCTCTCCTTCGCGATATAAAACGGTCACATCCTACAATCGTAGAATTATTTGTTCGATGCCTCATGAATGCTCACCTCCGGTCGCTCTTTCCTGTCTATCCAAATGGTGAGACGATTTAGATTTATGCCACTTATAAGCAGTTAGTTGTTTAGAATGCTGAGGTTCACGCATGGCAACATAACTCGAAGGTTCACATAAATCCTACAAAGAGAATGATTCCATGTACTTTTCAGGTCACATACGAGTTGATGGGATTCTTCAGAGAAGAAGCTCTTATATCCATGGTCTAAGAGATAGATCTCTTTGTAGTCCACTAAGGGATATTGAAGCTCGTTTCTGCTTCTATCCAAAGAGCGAAGACGATGAGCCCTAAAAAAAGCCATTGCATCCGTTTAAAAAAGCAATCAAGATACATTCCAGGTCCTCTCTTCTGACTGTATTCACAGTAAAAGATGGGAATTCTTTTCCTGATCGGGGCTGAAGAATCGAGAGGGAAGAATATCGCCTCTAACTCGTTTTGGTCATGAATATTCATGGCCGTCTAGAATAGAAAAGCATATGATGGGAAGTTCGAAATTGGAAAAACCTTGATGTGACCTCCGTTGTACTCATAAGGATAACGACAATCAACTAAGGTGAACCTCTCACTTAATCAAGACAAGATCAAGAATCAATTTTCCAAAACTGTTCAATGATATACCTAAACTCTTTTTCTCCCCACTTTCTCAGTTCACTTGCAAGTGTCTCGGCTGAAATACTTCTAAAAGCCTGTGAATCTGTTTGAGGCTTCGGCACAGTTGGAAGAGAGTATACCTGAAGCATAGGCTGAATCACCTAGCTATAATGTTAACCCACTTCAATAATTTTGGGTAAATTAGGACTTGAATGATGTTCTCCCATTTCCAGTACTCCACAACTTGTTGCCCTTGGCAAGCTTCTCTGTTGTGAGACTAACGACCACGTCGAAAGATTAGGGGAACAATCATCGTCAACTGTAAACACACTTTCGTCGAAATCAATCTGTAATTTCTAATTGAGTTTTTAAGAATTTATCGTGTTTACATCCAAGTCTTCCACATTCGAAGGCGAACTCTTTTTTCTCTTATTCTCCATTTCAGCCCTAGTTTCAATGCTACGCTTCCTTTGAGACCTATCCTTGTGCTCACTCATAGTTCTTCGAAGAGGTTGTGATCGAGTACCACATCCGTCATTTTGACCGGAGCTCTGATAGAATCAATGTTCTGCATATTAAGGGGAAACCATACTTCATCGAGTACGGTAAAGCGTTGGGATCTTTCAGAGAAAGAAATATCAGTAGTTGAATCAAACATCGAGAAAGAAAGCAGTCTTGGTTCTGGCTGAGAACAGACAGTAGTTAAAGGGGAATCAATCCATTGTTTCATGCTTCGAGAGGTAGTGAAACTAAAGCATAGTAAGATTCGGAAGATTCCTTTGCTATTCCAAACCTTCTGTTACTACTCTGACTGGAATAGCTCGTGTTAGTGCAATCGGCAAGTGGAATTCGGTGGATTAGCTGCAAAGACATACTGGTGAATCAACACCTACCATCAACTTACTTGGGTTTTATAAGATCTCTCCTCGAGCTTAGTGTTTTCGAAACCGAATTCGCAAAACATGTCCATCTGGTCGTTCTCCGCAACCTGTAACTTGTAATTCTTGAAAACTACTTCAGAAGAGAACTCACCTTACTGCCATCATCAAAACGAATGTTAGTATATTTATCATTATTGTGAGGTTCAGGTGAAGCACGGCCAGATGAGAACCCTAGAAGTACGAACTGAGCAGTACTTCTGACTCATATGCATACCGGAATCCCTAGAGTTGTCTTCTTCCTCCTTAATTTCTACATGGCCCCGTTCAGCCAAAATATTTGACATATCGACATAAATGTTAATCTGAAAATACAGTCATGAGTGGACGAAGTTGCTCGTGTTCTTTATCAGTTTGAAGAGCAGCACACAGTGGAAATAGTAAAAACACGAAAGGCTGTAGCTGCTTGTTAAGTACTAGAAACTATTTTCAATTCACTATCGCATACCATACCGCAGAAACTCATAAACAGAACATTTTCCTGCCGTTCTTGAGAGCTTATTTCTTGGGCTGACTTTCAATTGAATTATAAAGATAAGTCAACCGAAGTCTCCCAGATTACCGTGGAGACGTAATCCTAAACCATTGCTCAATATCCAATAAATTAGTCGGAAATCTAATAGAGGCAAAAAAAATCTTCTCAGGACTAGATTTATTTGAAAATCATTTATTACCGCCTTAATAGGTTCTGTCAATGGGGCGCGATTCTAAGAACGTGTGAATTGAATAAGAAGGGGCTTCCCCAGCCACGTACTAAGCATACAACAAGCAAAACCGGAACAGTCACACAATAACAGCTAGATTACAAAACAGCCAAAGATATAAGAAACCAAATCAGACAGAATTGGAAGGTTGGGCTGCTTGGGTCAAAAGCATTCTCAGCCACACATGGGTTATAATTAAATAAAAAAATCATTGGAGATAAATGGCCATACCCATAGATAATGAAGATAGAAATATCGTTTGGTCACTAGCAGAACTAAACTAGAGATCGGGTCCCCCTAGCTTAAATCGATTATGTGCCTCACACTATGATCTAGAAATGATCTCATGCAAGTACGGTACCGACATTTGAAAAATAAATTCCCCGCCGGAATTGTAAAAATTACCCGATTGATTACTCAAGATTATGCTTGGAATAGAAGCATTACGAACTCCCCTCTATCAAATGGGGCCCTAAATAGACATCAGTAACATAGGAGCTCATGAACCACTTTCAATAGTATAGCTGAAGGAGAAAGGTGGGATGAAGCCCGCCCCCTACCGGACCTAAATTTTCGAATTTGAACTAATAACACCAAGAGTATGCCCGGCTAATAAATTCAAACTAGAGTACATGCTAATTTGAAGTGTGAGGATCAATATTTACGTGATACCGTACTTCCGACCTTCAGAGCATTCTCGACATTCACAGACAGGCGGATATCAATCAATTATAGATAAATGTTGAAGACCTGTTGCTACAGGAAGTTAAGGGCAAGTCGGGCATTGTTTATCTGCCTCAGAGTTACAGAAGGTTAACAGTCCTTTCAGACATACTGTGGGAAAGAGGAACAAAAAAATTAAAATGGGCTGAATACATTCAAATTCTGCCAAGACGTAACATTTGGAGAAAAGAACAACAAGAATAAAAAAATTATGAAAAAAACGCCGCAGTACGAACAAAAAAGAAAATGAGGAAGAATGGAACCTCTCTTTCATTGAAACATGCTGCATACCTTTTTAACGCCCAGTGGGGTCGGGTTACTTCGGTAAGATTTCGAGTGCAACTGAAGCCACGCTGTAAGACTCGTTCAAAATTATGCTAATTAGAAGCTTCGAATTATCATCTCGCGCGTTTTTAATCACGTCTACGTGAAATCACTGCAACATTCAGACGCACGTTCGAAATTATGCTAATTACAGGGAATTTGATAGACTACGAGATTGTGAACGTTGTTGTTATGGCATATCTTTATGATACCATTTTTGGACATATCAATGAACAGTACAAACTACAACCATATCAAAGTACACAACAGACTGTGCGAAGGACAAAGAAGAATGAAGTTAGGTGTAAATGCATGGACTTATGTAGAAATGGTGTAATGCCATTTCCCCTTCTGGCATATGACGAACAGTTAAAGTGGTTTTAATGACGAATTTGAAAAATCTTCTTTCGGCTTCTAAATCAGATTAGCACTGACCAGTACAGCACTTTTGAACTGAAGTCCACATGGGAAGTGTGTCGTTGTTGGAGCATCCGTTAGGCCCTCCTTCATGGTTTCGAACCATCACTTCACATGGCGTCTTCTGGTTTCCGCAGTTTCGTGCGTTGCTCTGGTAATAGTTCTGCAAGACATAAGTTAGGAACAAGGACTGGTCCTTGGAACAACCTTCACACATTGAGTTGAACATGCATAATTTGCAGCGCATCTTCTGAAAGCAGTAGGCATATCTTCTCCTTCTTGATATCCCAATCGACCGCAGGCTAAGTAGTAAGGCATGCTGATTAGATAGTATCCACATGACATGTTTCCATTCTTCTCCTGACATCCAATAGGTTTGCATCCTGATTCCTGTAGACACAAACAGTGGAAGCATGTCGTAGACGGCATCGTGGCATCCAGCTCGTTACGAAGCACTACAGCTGACGAAAATCCTGCAGAGCAACTTCTGATACAAGCGAAATTCGAAAAGTACAAACCTAGGAAGCATACGAGGAGGAGAGCCTGGTTCATCATGAATCCCGATCTGTTGAAACTGGACCGATTGAAAGGCTTTTAAGAATACGCTAAAGTGTGATAAAGAACTGTTATCTTCATCCTCCATAGTTCATTGAAAGAACGACCATACTCCCAGTTAGGAATAACAAGATTCCGTATTTGATTCTGACACGAGTGAACATGATGAAGTAATCATAGTTACGGAGATGAATACTGGGAATAGTTCGACATGTCATTTCGAAGACAGTGACCTGAGAGAACGGTTGGTTCTGCAAATGACAGAGACTAGGATTATACATTTCAATGCTCAACTTGCCATGTGTACGTTTCGTTTCATTCATTGAACAGAGACATTGGCTATTAAGAACTTTATTTCTTTCAAAAAATCTTCTTTCGGTTTTCAAATCAGATTAGCATTGACCAGCACAGCAGGTTTTAACTGCGTTCCAGAGAGGAAGGGTTCCGTTCAGAGTGCATCCATAATTTCCTCCGTCATGGTTTCGAACCATCATTTCACAAGGCGTTTCGTGGTACTTTCCGCAGTTCCGCCCGGTGTTTACGTAATAGTTCTGCAAGATATAGTTTTCAAATAAGGACTAGGCATGGAACTAACCCTCACACACTGACTGGAACAACCGTAGTCTGCAGCGCATCTTTTGAAAGCTGTTGTTAGGTCTTCTCCATCTACATATCCCGGTTTACCGCAGACTGTGTAGTGAGACATAGTCAGTAGAAAATATCCACATGCAGTTTCTCCGTGCTTTTGCTGACAACCAATGGGCTTACATTCTGATTCTTGAAGACACAAACAGTGGAAGCATGCCTGTGTTAGTGAGGCATCCGCCTGATTACGAATCACTACAGCTGAAGAAAAACCTGCAAAGTAACCTTTAATTTTGAATAGGCTCGCTGACCACTAACCTAAGAGACACAGAAGGAAGATGGCTTGGTTCATCTTGAATTGAGAAGCGTCGAAACTGAACCGTTTGCCAGAGCTTTTAAGAATTGGTGACCGGTTGATAAAGGGATGTTATCTCTAGTAGTTTATTAAAGGAAGAACCATCATCGAAGAGTTAATGATTTTTTGTTCTTATCATTTCCTTTATGATTCTAAAATGAGCAAACGTGATGGTGAGCACGTGTGCATGGGAAGAAAACGTGCGTAAGTAAGGTTGATGATGTCATTTCGAAGACGGCGTCCTCAGAGAACGGTTGGTTCTGCAAATGACAGAGATTAGGATTATACATTTCAATGCT